GCCCGCCTCTCCCCGCAGGTTCGCCGTGGTGCCGGTGGCGCTGGGAGCCGCTGGCCTCAGCGCTGTGCTGCTGCTCTTCCCCCGGGAAGACGAGAACCCGCCCGCCGCCGCCGATGAGGTGAGCCTGCGTGGCCAAGCAGGCCGGGGGTGCCGGGACCTTACCTCCTTGAGGCCCCGGGTGTGGGCTTTCCCTTAGGGATGGGCCCCGAATGCCGCTCGAGGCCGCGGAGACTGGCCTCTACCTCAGGATGTGGCCCCGGGATGGGCCTTTACCTCAGGGCAGGCCCCAGCAGCTGACCTCAGGCCCCAGGGCTGGGCCTTCACCTCAGTGACAGACCCCAGGGGCTGGCCCAAGACCCTGCGTATGGACCTTGACCTCAGCGCTTGCCCCAAGGGCACCTCCGAGGCCGCAGGGATGGTCCTTTGGCTGCAGTGATGGACCTTTCCCTCAGGGATGGCTGCAGAAGCAGCCCTGAGGTCCTGGGGATGGGCCTTGACCTCAGGGCTGACCCCAAGGACTGCTCTGAGTTCCTGGGAATGGGCCTTTTTCTCGGGGATGGCCCTACGCTGCCTTTTCAGTCTCCTGTGGCTCGTGCTCCAGTGCAGGCTGTCGCTCACGGAGCAGGGATCTGTTTCCCTCACAACCCCCCTTGCTTACATGCCGTTATACGTGACCCGTGGGGTTTAGCGCCCATTCTCCCATCTCTAGACCCAAGGGGCTTCGTGCAGGAGTCACACTCGTGCTTTTATCCCTTCCAGCTCAGCCCTGAGCTCCAAGCAGCTTCTGCTCCTCCTCTGCCATCCCCTTTCACAGCTTGGTTTGTGGCTCTCTGTGCTTCTGCCCGCCTCCACCTTCCAGCACCCCCTGGAGCACACCAATAGCCACGTGGCAGGTAGTTTTGGTCATCTTCCCCCTAATTTTGCAGCCTTGCACATCCCCCCAGCTCCGTTTTCTGTTTTAAAGCCCAGTAACCGCATTTTGGCTCTCTTGTAGGTCATTACTGCACTCAGGCATGGAGCCATCTGTGTTTTCAGACAGCCCCTTGTCTGTGTTGTCAGCCTGGGATCCCCCCCAGGCTGCCTGCATGACCGTAGCTGAGCTGCAATTTTGAGCTTTCACAGAGCTCTTTGAGCTTTGAATACACAAAGTGTTGTGGCATTTTAGGTGGCCGTTTCCTCTGTTCTATTATTAATGCACATTAATTATTGCTCTTCCAGATCTTGATCTATGTAAATCCCTATTAAGGATTCTTGTAGTTTTTCTTTTCTCTGCCATGCATGGGGCCTGCTTGTGGAAAGGTTGGAAGCGAGATGAAGGGCAGCCGAGCTCGTGTTTGTGCCTGGGAGGCCAACAGAAATGGAAAGCTTATTTTTTTTTCCTATCTTCAATTGGACTGGACCTGCCCTGGCTATCAATAATACATGACCTGGGCTTTCAGCACTGAAACTCTGCTAATTGGCTAATTAAAAAGTGAAACGCACAGAAGGAGCCAACGCGTTGCTCACAAGAGACTCTTTCTGCAGCAGCACCAAGGCTGAGCGTGTGCTAATGCGATTTATAAAACTGAGCTGGGGGTGAGCGAAGCTCTGGGGTAGTCTCAGGAGCCAAGAGGATGATTTTGTAGCCAGCCTTCTCACAGTTGGCTTCTCCTTGTGCCTCGCCTTGCTGCTGTACCTTCTTTTTCTAAGCATTTTTTCTTCCTCCCCATTTCCCTTCTGAAAGGGAAGAACCGTGCGCTGCTCCTTGCAGTGCTGGGAGGTTTGTGGCTGGGGAGAGCTGCTGCAGGTTCTGGCTCGTGTTTCTTCCCTGTGCTTGGTACTGTCCTGTTTTCCTCCACATTTGCTTGCCCACAAGCTGCTTTTTTCAGGGGGTTCTTCTTTCAGTCATTTCTCACACACCCTGCTTCCCACAGACAGCACCCGTGTCGGGAATGAAAAGCCAGGGGGAGAAATCTGGGGAACCCCAAAGGTTTTCCTCCTGGGGTGATCGCCTTGGACAGTCCTCTTTTCCAGGATGTGGCATGCTCCCTCCAGGCTCCCGGAGCACTCCGAGCCTGTAACACGTGCTGGTGTGGTCTTTTTGGTTTTTTCCCACTCTCTGCAGATCGTGGACACCTTCTTTATTGGTCGCTTCATCCTCCTGGCCGTGATGAGCCTGGTCTTGCTTGGGTGCCTGTTCCTGCTCCTGCTCCACCACGTCATGGAGCCGGTGTACGCCAAGCCGCTGCGCAGCAGCTAGCAGCAGCCGCGAAGGGGAAATCCCAATTTCTTGGCAGTAAACCGGGAAAGGGAGACCAGGAGACTGTTCTGGAGGTGGATGTGTCGTTTTTTCCGAGCTGGGACGCAGCTGGTGAAGGAAGCGAAGCGCATCGCTTGCACCCAGCACCGCGTCTGTCGTCTTTAAAGCCTGGACTGCGCGCGAGCGCCTTCCTCTCCGGGGGACTCTGCAGACTTCAGGGGTGCTTTAACCTCGCTCTTCCTCTCGCTTTGATAGCAGAGTTGAAGTCCGTGCACTTCGTATTACATTCAGTGAATTGAACTGAGCCGAGACGGTTTGTTCTTACCACAGGAGATGGTTTGTTATCACTCCTTTTTCACCTTAGTCTAATAAAACTTGGAGAAACCCCTGACTCCCTCTTTATTTCCTCTCCAGGACCATCGCCTTTTGCTGCCCTTTGGTGACAGTGTCCCTGAAAACCACCTTTTCTCACGGCAGGTGTGGGGTTTTTTTTTTGAAATTCAGCACACGGTTGTGGATCGTTGGTGTCGGTCCCTTCGGTTGGAAACCTGAGCCTTTGGAGTGGGGAGGGAGCAACACACAAAATAATGACAAAACGGGCACATTTCGAATCTCTCCTCTGCAATGATGTGGAGGAAAGCTGGGTCTCACCTCCCTGTGCTAACAGCCCTGCCAGAGATCTCTTTTCACTTGGAACTGAAGAGGGTGAACAGCAAATAAACGAACTGTCCGGCTTCTTCCAGCCTTGTCCTGCCAGCTGTCAGTCACAGAATATCGCTGTCGGGACATGAAAGATTAATAAGGCAGAGCTAGTGGGCTCAGAGACGATGCTTCACCCGCAGAAAATGCCCCAGCACCCAGGAGCCCTAACTTGTCAGCCCAAAACCTCTCTTACATCTCAAAAAAAGGCAGAGGAGAGGCGTCGCTACTCTTGGAGTTGCGTAAACACTCGGTCCCTTCCTGTCTCGGAGCCGATGTCCAAGGGAGTCGAACTGTGGTGTTCGGGAACACGCCGAGCGTTTATGCAACACAAGCGCGTCGGGTCTCTTGGTGATTCTGAAGTTACGCCCGATACAAAATTCATATTTAATTCATCCCCTTAATAACGTTTATGAACACAAAGCTACTCTCGCGGCTCGCTCCGGCTCTGCTCCCGCTGTGCCTGTATTCCCCGTGCCTGCGTGCGAGCAGCGGGCTGATGGGGAGAGCCTCGGCGAGGCGGCGGCAAACCGTGCCGGCTGGAGCCGGTGGCGTTTTGCCAGGCTTTTGAGTCCAATGAACAGGGAAACGGCAGCAAAAGCAGCTGGGTGGCTGAAGGAACCGATCCTAAAAGCAGAAACGGGAAGCTGCTTCCAGTTTTGTGCTGTGAATAAACCCCAGATAGTGCTTTTTTCCATTCCTTCATCCGTTTGTAACTAAAACGAGTCAAAAGGCTCGGCGTGCGTGGGGGGGAGTATTTTGGGGAGAGCAGAAAGCCACCCTTGCAGAAGGGACGCGGTGGCTCTTGCACGAGGCCGTTTGCAGCGCTTTCCCAAAAATGCCACGTGCTCTCACCCCCTCCCCAAGACATTTCAAGCTCCATCCTCATCCTTCACCACCCTTGGCAGCAGGGAATGACTGGCTGCCTGAACTCAGCCCGGGCTCTCTCCGTGTATTTATTTATTCTGGGCAATTCTGCTCCGCCCCGCACAGGGGCTTTCCAGCCGCCTCCTGTTTATTTTTGGGAAAAGAAAGACCACGTCAAGGAATCGGTATGAGCCAAAGCTGCTTTCCAACCAGCTCCAAATGGTGATTTGTGCTGCTGTCCCCCACCCTAACGGTCACGTCCGCCCCCGTCTCGCGCCCTGATTGTTATTTGATGCAATTCCTGTGTAGCGGGAGGGCAGGTTTGGCTTAAACCCCAACCTCTCAGGCTCTGGCGAAGGCGTTGGGAGCTCGGGAGAGGTTATAGCCAAGGAGCCCTGCAAGCAAATGATTCCAGCTTTCCTCTCGCAGGGCGGGAGCGCCGGGTGCTCCACGTCCCCAGGAGACAGCCCTGTGCAGGCGAACCATCCCGCTAAATCCCAGCCGTGCCAAAAGGGATGTTTGCACGAGATACCGCACGCCAGGAGGAGGATGGCCAAGCTGCTGTCAGGTCAGGTGGGAAAACAGCCCTTTTTGCCCAACAAATTCCCTGCCTGGCTCGTGGGGAAGGGATGCTCCCAGGCTGGGATGCAGGTGCCCAGCTCATCACAGGATCTGGCAACCCGAGGGCGGCTGCTCCCTCCTGCCCGAGGCCAGGCGGTGAGCGGTGCCAAAGCGGGGATGGAGGGAGAGCAAGTGTCCGCAGGAGAAACTCCTCTCCTTGATTTAAGGTCCTTGAATGACGGCAATTCCTCACGCCTCATGCTGCGCTCCGCCGGCGCTTAATTACCCTCACTGGTAAAAGCTGGCCTCATTTCCACCTTGACTTTGCTGACTTCAGCTTCCCTGCTGCTGAGTCCCGCTTTGCCTTTGGCTGCTAATTAAAAAGCCCTTCAGCGCTCACCGGCGGCTCCTTGCACAGGTAATTACGGCCCATGCCCCAGCCACCTCTTTACCTCCGCACGGTGTTCCTCCCGAATAGGTGCACACCTTTCCCAGGCTGCCTCCGGCAAAGCGCGGCCAAAAACGGCGGGGGCCGTGGTGTCACCTATAGAAAAACACTCGGGGTCTGCGTTCAGCAAAGTGGGTTCCTAACGAGCTTGTTGCAGGCGCGATGGCGTTTTTTCCCAGCAGCGGGAGCATGTTCATGCTCTCCTGGCTCGCGCAGCCCCCTCGCCGAAGGGGGAAGAGCAGCTCCGGCTGAGGGGTGTTGCAGACTTCTCCCGGAGGAGCTCGGCTTGATTTAAACAGTCCTTTGGCCGGGACAAACCCAGGGGATCCCCCCTTGCCTTCCTGCCCACCCCTCAGTCTCCAAAATCTCAGCAAGATCTGGGGTTTTCTTTGGCATGTGGCTCCTTTTTTTTTCCAGTTTAAAACTGCCATGAGCTGTCTGCCCTTTCTCCTCGCTCCCGGCAGCACAGCCAAGGCTGCGCAGACTTTCCAAACACGAGCAGGACATGGCCCAGGCCTAAATTTGTCCTGGAAAAACTATGAGCAGCTGAAAGAACAGGCAGGAGGTGGAGGTGGGGGGGGGGAAAAGGAAGAAAGGTTTAAAAAAACCACGAAACCAACTTGCTTTTATAATAAATCCCTGTGTGTGTCAGGGCTTGTGGGATTTTTTCCTTGAAAATGTTTTTCCATCCCCTCCCCGTCCTCTTCTGCAGGGTGGACGGCAGTTAAGCAAAGTGAAAGCTCAGTCACACATGCACTGAAACAACAGTTCTCAGCCCAGCGCGTGGCATTTCTGCTGGCATCGTTGGTCCTTGTGCCGTCAGAGGCCACGTTTGCCGGGAGCCACACAGCCTGGGGATGCCGTGGTGTCAGCCCTCTGCCTCTGCTGGGGACAGACCATCTTACCCCTGTGCCTCTGAGGGTTTGCCCCGGAGGGGTTTATTTGCCTGTCAAAAAGGGCCGTTGGGGTTTTTTTTTTTTGCTGTACTCTGCCTGCCCCAACATTTCTCCTGTGCTCTTCCCCAGGGATCTGCAGGCAACCAGCGAATTTTCAAGGCCGGTCAAGCATCTCCGGTCAGTACAG